GGGAGTGCGGTGTGTGTGGGAGTGCGGTGTGTGTGGGAGTGCGGTGTGTGCGGTGTGTGTGGGAGTGCGGTGTGTGCGGTGTGTGCGGGAGTGTGGTGTGGTGCGGTTCTGTGGGCTGTAGCCGTGTCCAGCTCTAACCAGGATTTGTTTCTCTTCCTGCCTGCGTGCAGCTGGGTTTTGTGGATCTGAATTTGGCGGAATTTGCTGGGTCAGGAATGACTTCCCGCTGCTACATCCTGGAGGGCTACGACACTAAGAACACACGGCAGGATAACTCCATCCTAAAGGTACCCTCAAGTGAACGGTAGGAGACAGTCTGTCAGAGCTGGCACTGTACAAACCCCCTCAGATCTCAGGGTCATCGCGTTAAACTCACAATTCTTACTGAGCCACAAACACTCTGCAATATTTGTACATCTGATGGTCCTGACTATACACACTGCCCCTTCATACAGTATCCCTTTAATCTCTGACCTTTTCAATCATTGGGACAGCTTTCGTTTTCAGGGAGTCAGGGATACAGCCTAAAATCCTCCCAGGACAGCGACAGCATGGGGAACAGATACAGAAGTTGCTGGAATAGCTCAGCAGTCTTGGCAGCGTCTGTGAAGACAAAAAAACCGAGAGTTAACGTTTCGGGTCCGGTGACCCTGCCTCAGAACCAGACCCTGCTGAGATTTTCCAGCAACTTCTGTCTATTTTTCCTGATTTACAGCTTCTGCAGTTCTTCCAGTTTTTATTTAGGGACAGCACGGGGTTAGATGCAGAGTAAAGCTCCCTCTACACTGACCCCCATCAAACCGTCCGAGGATAGGGAGAGCAGTGGGCGAGGTACATATATAAGTCTGTGTGTGATCGATCCCCGCTCTCAGCCCTGGGACAGAGAAAGCCAGTTCTCGACTGCTGTTCGTTTCTGGCTGGTGGTTTCCTGGTTAACAGGTCGATGCCATCTCGCCCCTCACTGTGTAATGTTGAAGCTGCAGTTTGTGCAAAATCTGTTTGCCCATATTTGTTCAATCAGTTTCTTTGCTGATGAATGATTTTATTCTCTTTCCCCTCCATTTCTCCACCCTCTCTTCCTTTGCTGTCTGCTCCTTTCTCTGTTACTGTCACCCTCCATTCCTCACTCCCCTTTCTACTATTTATTCCCTGCCTGTCTTCTATTTTTTCATCTCTTTTCCTTCCTGTCTTTTCTGTAATTCTTGTCTTCTGACCTCTCTGTCTCTCACTCCCTTTGCCCTTTTGCTCTGGCTGCTTCTCTGTGTCATTTGCTGTCTCTCATCTCTCTCCCTCAATCCCTGTGCGAGAGGTTTATCGCCTCTCTCTCTCTCTCTTACAATTATTCTCTTTTTCTCTCTTTGTGCTTCTTTCTCTCTGTCCCTCTCTTTGCCTCTCTCACTCTCTCTCTGTTATGCTCTCGCTGTCTGTTTTTCTCTTTGTATGTGTGTCTCCCTCTGTCCCTCCCTCTCTGTCACTTTTTGTTTCACTCTCTCTCTCTGTTATTCTCTCACTATCTCTGTTTTGGTTTTGCCTCTATCTCTCTCTCTCTTTCTCTGTTACCTGTTTCTCTCTCTCTCTCTGTTATTCTCTCACTGTCTCTCTGTGTTTTTCTCGCTCACTGACTCTCTGTCTCTGTCTTTTTCTGTTTTTATCACTGTCTGTCTCTGTTTTTCTCTCTCTCTGCTTTCTCTCACTCTGCTTTCCCTCTCTGTCTCTGTTTCTCTCTCTCTCTGCTTTCCCTCTCTGTCTTTCTTTCACTCTGTCTCTCTGCTTTCCCTCTCTGTCTTTCTTTCACTCTCTCTCTCTGCTTTCCTTCTCTGTCTGTTTCTCTGTCTCTCTGGTTTTTTTTCTCCCTTTGTCTCTATTTCTCTCTCTGCCTCTCTGTTTTCCTCTCTGTCTGTTTTGCTCTCTCTCTCTTTGTCTATCTGTTTTCTTCTCTCTCTGTCACTCTCTCTCTGTTTTTCTCTCTCCCTCTCTCGTTCCGTACATCCCAGATCTCCATCAGCCTGCAGTTGTTGTTGGGAGACCCTTGCTTTAAGACGTGAGTACTGGCCTCTGGCCTTTCGCTTCATTTCTGTGCTGTTGTTCTGTGAGCTTTCCTCAGCTCAGCCCATGTCGACTCCTGTCTCTGCCCGTGGACTTTACATTATTAAACCTGTCGTTGCTCATCCCCCACATCTGTGCCTGTCTTGTCCCTGTCTCCGGCTCCCCCTTTCCCAAACTTTTCATTCACTTCCCCCGCCGGCCAAAGAACTCAGCAACTCCTTTTGTGAGAAGTAGTGCCCCCTGCTGCCAGCCCTGAATAACACATCCATAAACATCTCACTCCCTCCCCCACCGACGCTCAGTCGCAGCAGTGTGTACCATCTACAAGATGCTCTGCAGAAACTCACCAAAGATCCTCAGGCAGCACCTTCCAAACCCACGACCCACTTCCATCTAGAAGGACAAGGGGCAGCAGATACATGGGAACACCAGCCCCCTGCACGTTCCCCTCCGAGCCCCTCCCCATCCTGACTTCGAAATATATCCCTGTTCCTTCAGTGTCACTGGGTCAGAATCCTGGAATTCCCTCCCTAAGGGACATTGTGGGTCAACCCACAGCACATGGACTGCAGCGGTTCAAGAAGGCAGCTCACCCCCACCTTCTCAAGGGGGGCAACTAGGGACGGGACAATAAATGCTGGGCCCAGCCAGCGATGCCCTCGTGCTGTAAATGAATCAATCATTGAAAAGAAAATTGATTATAATTTGTCTTTACTCCCTGGAGGTGGTTAAGGGATGGATTATGGCGCAGGACTTGAGGTATTCGAATTGGGATAGTGTGCAGGGGGCTATGGGAAGAAAGCAGGAGATTGGCACAAAGTAATGATGCTCGCTCGAAGAGTTGGTGCGATGGGCTGAATGGCCTCGCTCTGCACGCTGCGATGAAGGAAGGACACTTCCTTAGTGTGCTTTGCCGTGTGGGGAATATCGCTGTCCTCCTCAGAATCCCTTGTGTCCCCTTCAGGCTAAAGTCCCACGCCAACCCTACACCCTCCCCCACATCCTGCTTAGGCACCATCGCTCCCCCCCCCCCCCCCCCCCCCCCCCCCCCCCCCCCCCCCCCCCCC